TGACAACCCACTCCAGGGTAAATACTGGGATTCTCAGACGACCAAATGAAGTCCAGTTGCTTTGACTTGAGCACTTCAACCAACCATGATCTGTAGGATTGAGAATCTACATCAACATAAAGGCACAGTGAAAGTGCAAAGTTGGAAAGGAGAGCATGTTTGAATTCAGTTTAGGGTGAAGCATCATACCAGCTAGACATGAGCATATTTGCATATTTGCAAAGAAAACATCGATTTCACCAGTTTTGTTGTAACGCTGAACATCTTAGCTGATGGTTGAACATTCAGAGATTCTGTTTTGTGTTGACCACCTCCTGCTCCTGTTGGTAGTTGCTTCAGTTGCTGACTTGAAAATTGTTAAAAGTTTAACTCAGTACCACCCACTTCACTTCACTTTTTTTTTTACCTGTTGTTGCTACAAGTGACTGAATTTCCCCGACATTTTTTGGTTTTTGAATACTAAATCACTGCGGTCTCTTCTTGAGAGGATGCCCCTTAAAGCTGCTAGCAGTGCGGTGCACTGACTATGTTCAGGATGTGCTAAATTGTACTCAACACACTGCAGTTTGTGCACCAATTAATCTAAACACAAGCTTTATCTGAAAAATATTGCCAAGGTATTTCTGAAGTTATTTCAAGATCACCTGCAATTTGCTGTACTTTTTTCACTCTGTGTAGAAGAACTGTGCAAGCAATATGTGTGACGTTTCAATTAAGAATACTCTATTTTGTAATTTTTAAAATAACACCAACTTGAATTCTGCAGGAAACACCATTAACTTCATTGCATTGTTAAAGAATTTAGGATCTTTTAAAAAAATGTTTGTACCTTCATCCTGGCTCATGGTGGAAAAATATGATTTTCCAGCCGCCTTGTGATTTTAAACACAGAGCTCTTTGGTTACTCGGCATACTGCGCTGAAAGTACAAGAGCTGCTCAGTGCACACAGGTGTTTCTCTTCAAAGTGATAAGTGTTTTGATCCACTGAACACCTGAGTCTTCAGTAATACCTTCCCATTCACCAGTAGTCCCCCTGCCAAAGCTCCTAATGGCCAAACGGATCGCTCCGCGTTGTGCCCCTGCATTCACACTCACGTGGGGAGGCCTCTGAAATGAAAATGCCATTATAAAACATTTACCAGCCTGCTGAGTTTACATGTCTTACAAGAAAAGGACCGTTTGGAGCGGTTAAGTGTCACATAAATCTTTCAGCACACTAATTGAAGTGGTTCCCCCAATAGGCCACTCTCCACAGCTGGTATTACAAATCACACTACTGTGGATAGGCCAGCCAGCTGCAAACCAAATCTTACACCCACTTGATAACGCTGTTAAGACACACACATGGTGCTCTGTGGGTTGCTGCTGCTGCTGCTAGTTTGCTCAGACAGCTCCACTGGGAGTGTGTAATGTAGTCGTATGTAAACACAAGTCATCTTTCAGTGAAATATGCTCTGAGAGGAGGCACAAGTGTGTCCCCCCTCGCCTCTCTTCTCCTAGAAATGCAACTTATTTAAAGCTTATTTAAGCAGGTATGTTGAAGAGGTACTGACTGGGGGTAGTAGTTGCAGAAGGCGGTGGGGTTACACCTGCAGTAGTCACCAACTCACTACTGAAACTAGCATGCTACAGAAGCTAGAGAAGCTTTGGTGGATTATTTTCCTTCAGCTTCAGTTATCTTTAGTGAAAAGAAATCACCCAGCAGCTGACTGGAAATTTGGTCCGCCATCCAAAGAGGAGCTTCACATCATATATCAGAGCATCAAGTGCAAAACTGCGGAGGACCGGTAAACTCTGGAGGCCCTATTCATGGCTCAGCAATTACACTGACACTCAGACTTGATGTATTCCACCTCCTGCTCCATCTTCCCTCGCTGTCCTTCAAAACCTCTCTGTTACCTGCCCTTCCTATATTTATCTCTCCTCCTCCTTCCCATTAATTGTCTTTCTGCCTGCTTTTCTCTCTTTTTGTCTTCCCCCCTCTTTGCCACAGAGCCTGTTGATGAAAATCCTTTTTATTTCGTTGTTTATTAATGGATTAGAAGCGATAAATGAGTGGTACACTGTTTCACACCTTTTGAATGTCTGAATTTATTAGAGTAGTTTTGTATGAGAAGTGCAGCCCCTCAGTTCATCCAGCGTGTGATATGTGAACTTTAGCTCCTCTTCCATTAAGCTGACTTTATTCTGATAAACACCAGGTGGGTGGAGCTTCTGTACTTCTGTCTAAATGATCCACATAGGTGACCATATTCAGAAATCCTGCAGATCCTAGAATAGAAAAATAAAAGTTTAGAGCTGAGAACAGGAATGGACTGACGACTCTCAATTTGTACTTTGAATTTGGCGTAAAAAGCATAAAGTCATCCTTCCGTGCATCAGTGGGTCAGGATGCTGCTGGTGGGGGTGGTGATGTAATGGTGTACGGGATATTTTCTTAGCACACTTTGACCACCTTAGTGCCTGAGCATTGTTATTGACTATGTAAATCCCTTTATGACCAGTTAGTGATCTTCTGATTAACAGCGAACCGTGTCACAAAGATCAAATGAGTTTCAGTTTCAGTTACAAAGACTCTCTTCACCTCACTACAGTTGTATTTTTATTGTAACTTCTTAGTCAAAGAAGGACTAAATATTAGGACTACATCAATGTTTTAAGGAGTTCACCTCATTCTTTAGCAACTTTTTATAGCTTCTTCTTTTCTTAGTAATCAGACCTCTTTCAGAACTCTGAAGGGGAATCTGAAGGTGAATATGGCGTGTGCCAAATGGCTGGCTGCAAATTTTCCATAGATATTTATAAAAATTATATTTATAGATATTTAAATTAAATGATTTTATAATCCTTTAGAGAAAACCTGATATATAAAAGCTTATATATAAAAATTCTTTAGGGGGAAAAGTGCAAAATAGTTTCAGGTTTGGCTGAAATGAAAGAAACGTGGCAGAGTGACTAAATAGGACACAATTTAAAAGCAGTATTAATGTTCTTATTGAGCTTTATTTTGAACACTGGTACCCAGACTTCCTTAAAGAAAACATCTGTGTGAACTGGTGATTCTCACATATATCACGTGTTTTTTACCATTCAGGTCTGACCTGTGCTTTTTAAATTGCATCAGCTCATCTATTTCTCGTGTTTTCCAGTAGTTTAATGGCTTTGTTAGTACCTGCGAATGTTCATTCATTACAAAATAAGCCCGTTTTTATTTTTACTGAATTATGGTAGTATTTTTGCTACATCTGTAGGCAAACTTTACAAGTGACAATGAGGCAATCAGATGAACATTTCTCCATTCAATACTCGTACCAGACAACAGCTGGCGCTAACCCACAGGTCATGATGAGAGAGTTGATCGAGGGCGCTTTGATGGCTTGTTTTGTCAGGTGACGCTCTCTTTAATATCTGAGTGGTCATCACCAGGGGTCCCCTTCCCACCGCTGTATGTGGGCCATTCACAGAGCAATAACTGCATCCCGCTGTGCCCATCATGCCTCGCTGCCAAAACCTCCTCAGCACCATGGTAACCAACACCTGTTCCCCTAATTAGAGGGACACTGGAGGGAAAGGAGATGAAGAAGTTAATGAAACACTAATCTGGTCCAATCAAACGGCCAGGCATCTGCCTCCTCGCTGCAGCAGCAGGTGACCATAATGGATGCCTTATGGGTACCTCCCCCGCCACGTCACCCTGAGTGACCTCATCAATGCCAGATTTCTGCACGGAGCAGACAGGCAGGGAAGAGCTGGAGGGAGGGGAGAGGAGAGGGATGCTGTTTCCTGGATGGACAGCATACCTGAACGGCGAGGTGTCAGCCAAAAAGAGATGAGGTTCTCTCTGCACGGCAGTTGGAGCAGCTCCAGGTCGCACCAGCTGCACAGCTCTTGTTTACAAGCTGCCAACTGCTGCCAGAGAGGCCTGATGCTCAGGTGTGCTTTCTAAAGAGATCAGTCCACTCATATGAGCTGTTATGACACTGTCTGTGTTGACCATTAAAAGAACAAAAGTGTTGTGCATGATCATAAACAATTTGTGTTTAATTAATAGTTAATATTAAACTCTGGCTCTTTTCCACAGTGGGACTTTTGTCCTGTGTCGTTTCCCTCAGCCCCTTCCCAAGCCTGGATCTGCCGGAGGCTTCCTTCCTGTTAAAAGGGAGTTTTTCCTTCCCACTGTCGCCAAGTGCTTGTTCACTGGGGGTTGTCTGATTGTTGGGTTTTCTCTTTATTACTGTAGGATCTTTACCTTACAGTATAAAGCACCTTGAGGTACATGTACTGTTTGAAACCTAAAATATTCAGTTAACTTACAGTAAAGACCAAAAAAACAACCATGACTTGGTCAGGACCTTTGAACCTGTCCTCCAAGTTGTGGAGCTGTGAAAATGATATTTTAAAAAGTCAGACTGAGAAAAGCTGAAGAACAAAACATGAACATGCAAAACGGTTTTTACCTTTATCTACTTCACTTATACAACACAACAAAACAAGTAATGTTGGCATGGCCCACGTGTTAGATTCAGTCTGGTACACCAGTAGTAACTGGTTGTGGAAAGTCAAATTCCCTCCTCTATGAAACTGAGGATACATAGTCTGTTGATGATATGGAGTGTAAAAGGTCGACGTGTCTGTCTGATATCAAACTGACTCCAGTTGTAGATTTTTGCAGTGTTTCGTTTAGAGCTCTCCTGAACCCTCTTTCTGTTTTCACTCAACAGGAAACTTCAAAGGCATGTGTAAACAGATAGACCACTTTCCCGAGGAAACAGATTATGAAGCAGACCCATCTGAGTACTTCTTACGTAAGTATATATTCAGTCTTTACTTTCACATACAGAAAAATTGTGACTTTTTTCTGTTTGTCTTTAAAGTGACCACACGAGAAAAAAAAATCACTTCAGGAATTTTGCTTCTCCTTCTATAATTTCTTTTTGAAATTCTTTCCACTTTTTGCTCAGACTGGAGCATGGTGCCAGTCGCTGCTCTTGGCCCATGTGTCAGCACCGTCTCTTCCTGCCTTTAGCGTGAGGCTGGCCAGGCTGAGCCCTGCCAAGCAGCTCGTCTGTTTTTACTGCTTGGCTGTGTGTAACATAACGTGCAGTGTTACAGTCGGCTGTGTACCCTGTAAACACAGCCCATTGATTTCTGCTCTCTTTTTCTTTGTGCAAGCAAGACAGAGATGCTTGTCGGACTCATTTGCCTGCTAATCCTAAAAATCACAACAGGTGCTGTTACTATCACTAGGTCAATAGTCCCATTAATCTTTGTATTTGCTTAAAAGCTAAGAAATTCAATTTAGAGATTTCTCCCCTCTTTTGAAACACTGTATAATAATCAGTAACTAATTGTTAAAACTTTTATGAGCACACTTAAGCTTTAAATCCTTTTTTCTTTGAGTGGATTTAATTTGGTTTGTTTTTTTGGAAGGACAGAGAAGAAATTTTTATGAGCTGCCTTCTTTCTTGTAATGCAATCTGTTAACACAGCTTTCATAGAGAAACTTTTTTGGAGTGTAATACTGATTTTGGAAACGCATTGGCTGGAGTCCTCATATCCACACTGAAAAGTTTATATGGACACTTGTAACTTTGTGACTGCTCCAGGCCTGCTGATAGCTGATAGTGACTGTACATGTTTCTGTTCTGCTGAAGTGTGTGGTGCAGCTGTCACTCATGAACTGTAGATACGGAGGTACAGTTCTTCATTGCACAGCAGGAAATATTCGCACTACTCAAACTTCTCCGTGTGCACTCTGTGTGCAAAAGTGCCCCACTGCATCCCCTTGGTTCTGAATATCATTACCTCTGAGACACTCACGGCAATTCAAGAAAAAAATCATAATTTTGGCACCAATGTTGATACGAGAAAACACTAACAGACTACTAGAACAAGCATAAGACAGATTGAGGGCAAAAAGCATGTGATCATTTGACCGAAAATGAGACTTTAAGTCATAATATCCAGAAACGATTTGTCATTTTTTAACTAAAGGCAACATAATTTTAAGTAAGTAAGAATGAATTATGTTTAAATATAAAGGTTCAAGTAAAAGGAAAGGTGTAGGACCTTCCCTCTTACTTTTTTGTTTTCTTTACAAATCTTTACATTTTTGTTTTTTAATTTCATTGCAATCCTGATGTTTTTGTGTCTCATAGTGTTGTGGAAAACTCTAAATAAAGAACAAATGGCAATAAAAATAAACATTCTGAATAGTAATAGTAGTAGTAGAAGGAGTAGAAGTATTCATTTTTATAGTATTCAAGATTTGTTTTTAAACTTCCAAAGAAAGCCAGGCCTTTTCGTACATATGGTTTGAACTTCTAACGCATTTTGTGCAACGTGCAAACAAATTCAGGTACAGAAATATTGATAAATCACTGATTTACATGCAGATTTGCGTATATGCACTGCTAATAAATGAGGCCTAATAGCTTGATACAGAAGGCGGGTGTGAGCTTCATCCGAGTTAAAAAATATTTGTACTCTACTCTCTAAAGTTTGCTACAAATAGATGTGTAGATGACTTGGTCATATAACTATATTTTTCTGTAAGTACTGACATCTAGAATTTTTACGTTTCATTAACACTCATCATAATTAAACATAGGTGCCAGCTTTAACGCTCTGTCATACTTCATAAAAATGGCAATGTCCCGAGCCCTGGTTGACCTCATTCCCCCTGCAGCCTGCAGTGATTTGAAACTGTAAGTCAGAAAGTGTCCATCCTCTCGTCTTCGTCTGCAGGGATTGTAATGGAGGCCTGACAGACAGCCTAACGGTGTGTGCCAGTGCTGGATATTAACCCCGGCCAATTAGGCTGCGTTTGACTCAGCGCTCTGAGCGGTTGTTCCCGCCCGTATGCACCACGGTTACGATAACAGTTCTGGTAATGATTCTAACAATGCCATAGCCCTGGCAAAAGCAGATCACACTCATGACAAGGCATCTCTCAGGCTGAGGATGACAGTCATGGGGTAGAAGCAGCGGTCTGGCCCTCAGACCACTGATGCTCTGTGCACGTTAACCTCTTCCCAGGCTGTGACTGGAGGAGAAGGCCGCATTGCTCCCAGTAGCTTGCCAATTAGGACACTCACATCCATAAATATTTCAGCCTCCTTCTTATATAGGTCAGGCCTCTCTCGGTCGTTGTCTCTCTCACTCTCTCTGCATCTCTTCACCCTCACACCTCACACTCATAGTTTTACATGTCAGGAGTTGCACAGTGCCTCATGTCATCTCAGTCACGATGATTTGCAGCATTGCATGTTTTTTTTTATCCCGTATGCAAGATAAGGGATGCAGTATGCGTGTCTTTCATGCTAAACCCCAGTGATGCTTTTATACATCGGCGCTTTTCCCTTTCACGGACACACCTGGCATTTCCATAATGAGGAGTTTCACGGTGCCTCTGGGTGGCCAAAGATGGAGAAAAGCTGCCTTTGCTCTCACAGCTGAGGGAGAGAGGGGATAGTTATGCAACAGGAATGATGTCACTTCAGGTGAAGGCCCGACGGAAGTGACATCACCGGCGAGCACGGCGTCCAAAATCAATGGGACACACTGGTGATGTCATCAGACAGCATAGTGAGGAGGAGGGAGGGAGAAATTCGGTGATGTGGCTGCCGAGCATAAAACAGACAAATCTGACTTTACTGTGCTCAACATACACCCCCGCTCCACCGCACATGCACAGATCTGCTGTCCTCATGCCGACATCCACGCATGTACAAATACATACGAGCACGCCACATGTCAGTAGCTTCTCTCTGTGCGTGTTTGTGTGCGCGTGTGTGTCTGCTCCGTGAGTCCAGCTCTCCCAATAGCAAGGCAGTTTGCGCATCCACACGGGGTTATATAAGCCAGCTGAGGCACACTAAAGCGCCACTGGGTTTTTAGATCATGCCGTGTTGGAGCTCCCATCATCCGCTGCTCTACTGGGTGCTAAGCAGCTGAGAGAGAAGAAACAGAGGAAGAAAACGCCTAGTTATGCAATCTGCTAATACTAAAACCGAACAACGTGTAGCAATGAGAGGGAAAAATCATGTGCGGGGAGGAGATGTGGATGCCCGTGGATCCACGCTGGAGCAGGAAATTAACTGTTAGTCACAGGCAGGCATTTTAGTCTCTTGATATTATTTTTAGCAGTATTTATTCTATCCTATCCTATTCAATTCAATTCAATTCAATTTTATTTATATAGCGCCAAATCACAACAAAAGTCGCCTCAAGGCGCTTCATAGATACAGAGAAAAACCTGACAATCATATGACCCCCTATGAGCAGCACTTTGGCGACAGTGGGAAGGAAAAACTCCCT